TAGCGTTTTCTTCTTTCTCCGACTATTTTTTCCAACACTTCGCGCTGTTAATATATAAACCTTCGAATAATATCAGATAAGGCACCATTTATCAGGCGAAGTAAATTACCTTGCTTCTACAAATTTTTTCCGATGTTTAATATACATCGTACGTATTCTTAATACTTTGTGACGCTTGTTATTTGCTCTTATCTTCGCAAATATAGGAGTGGATGATAAAATGTAAACTTTGAAAATGCAACGTTAATTAAATTACCACCTTGCGACTGCTTGCTACATTACGCTCATTTCTCTTGAACGAGTGAGAAAATCGTCTAATTACGTAAAAAGTACACGGAGGAAAATGTTTGGTCGAATGAAACAATTTTCTCATGAAATATAAACGAAGTATAATTCGGAGATTCCAATTGAAATTATCAAAGTTTAGTCTAACATTATCAAGCTTTCTGATTAACTTAAACAGGATTCTAATACATTACATAATACATAATGTATTTTCAATCGCAGTTTTTTAATCGTTTACATATTTCACGTTTATTTCAAGATTGTTTTATTCAACCAAATATTTCTCTGCGTGTGTGTGTTTATCGTAATAGTAATAAATTAGTAGTAAATTAGTATAATATCAAAATGAATAAGTAGAATGAAAAGAATTCCACATGGACGTTGGCAATAAGTGATACACGTTGTATCTCTCGAGCCGCGTGCAACATCACATCGTCGAGCTCTCGCAAACATTAAAAAAAACCACGCCCTGTCGTGCGTCATGATTGATCGCGAGTTAAACACACGCGCAACACATGCCCTTCGCAATGCAGGCGTTAATTCACGACGTACCGTCCGTCGTAAGAAAATTGTACGAGACGCAAAACGGCTGTACGATGCGTCCAATTAGAAGAACCTATAAGCGCCTTCTTCTTTTTCCCTATCCTCCCTTTCCCCTCCCTTTCTCCCGCTCTCTCGCTCTCCTCCCCCCCTCCCCTCTATATAAAACGCCCGCATATCTCGTATCCTTAATTAATCACGAATATTTATTGCGTCTTCTCATGCACACGGGCATAGCGCGAGAGGCAATTAGCGAAATGATTGCATGAAAAAATAAATACGATTTCTTTAGCCGCTCTCGAGCGCCGGTATCCGCATCGGCGTCGTCTCGCTGAAGGCGCTCTCAGACACCGCCTGGATATATCCTCGCCATAATTAGTTCATTAATGCTAGATACGTTGCGCGTATTCAATTTCCCGATATTATCCGCACGGCAACTCGTGCGCGCTCGCGGACACGCTCCTTTACGCAGGCGCCTCTCCAGCGCGCATCCATCACGTCAGAGATTAAACTCCGGCAGGTGGTCCGATGCATGAACAATATCGCTTATTATCCAATAATTCTCTGCGCGTGCGATATGTAATGCGGCGTGCCGCGTTCTACCGCGGCAAGTAACTCGAAGACGCTCTGTAAATTATCGTTTAATTCGCTTCCTAGATTTCCTAAAATTCTCCGTTGCTCATCATCTCAGTCATCAGTATCGACAACCGGATTTTGTGCGGAGCAACAACGTTTGTCTTCGCGATTGAAAAGGAGCGTGACCAATTTCTCGCGCGATATCCGCTCATGATGCACGATCTGGCGCATTGTTTGATTCATAAAATAATCTCTTTATATTGTTGCGCACTATTGAAGTTTTGCGTTCAATGATGTCGCGCCACTTCCAAGCTTACGACGAGAACGACAAGATTCGTCAGAACATCCCGTTGAAGAGGCTATCCCTCTCAATCGCGATTTACAACTGCAATTCGGAATTATTGAGTCCGACGTCGCTCGTGGACGCTCGACGGCGGGGGGGGGGGGTGGCAGGTGGGACAGGTAAACTCTGTGCAAAAGCCGCGGCCGAGAAAAACACGATTCGACCGATAAATCAGGCGTATGGCATTTCTAAGATAGCCCGCTACCTGAAAGCCATTACGATGTCAAAGTAATTCCCAACTAAGTAAGTAAAGCGATAAATACATAATGCATCCGTCGAGTTTCCCACACGCGCCCGCTCGCCCGTACGCGCGCCCCGTCTCTCTTCCTCTTTCTCTTTGCCCAACCGTGGCGAGTGCGGTCGCAAGTCTCGCCGCAGTTCCATGAAACAATGCATCAGAGCGATCGCGCATGATGCGCTGAGCGTCGCGGATTTATTTGCGCGATCGACGGCGATCGTTCTCGTGAGGAGGAGCGCTGGCGAGCTTTTTGCGCGGCGCGCGCCTCGTCAGGCAGGACACGCGGGGATGCAAAGTCGAGGTCGCAGGAGAATTGAACAGCGGGGAAAACTGCCGTGGGAAAGCCGCGGAAAAGCGCGACGCCTTCGTGCGCTACGCGTGCGAAATGGGTCGTTCGGCGACGAATCCGATGTCGCGATACGCGTCAGATCAGAGAGAGAGAGAGAGAGAGAGAGAGAGAATGAGATGCCGCTTGTGCCGATCGAGTTTAATGAATGATAACAGCAACAATGAGAGACCGTGCATGCGTCCGACGGAGCGCGCAAGTCCAGCCGAGTCTGACCACAGCGGAGGAGTTTCCACTTTCCGGTCGCGTGTGCGACGACGAACGCGCGGCGGCGAGGGAAAACGACCATGGGGACGGAAGTGAGCAGCCTCCGCTTTCGTTCGTGACACCCGGTACAGATCGCGAGATTTACAAAACGGCCTTCCGTCTGGTTTATCTCGTATATCGATAAACACGGGGCGAGATTCACCTCGCTCGATACCTTCGTTCGACATTTATCCTCAATACTTCTAAATCGCGGCTGTCGTTTTCTTCGCTACCCGAGCGTCGCGATACCAACGGTATCATATGTGTTGTCACGGTGTATACGCAATTAACGGGATAGCTCGTTAATTATATTGTATTTTTAATCATACCTATACAAAGTATCTGGCAATTAGAAGAAACGCCTCGCGAGAAACGCCGAGTGATATATGCGTACACTTACGTACGACGGTGATGAATTCCAACTGATTACATACGCGCGCGCACGCGCATAATTTGGAATATAGAAATATGCCGTATAATCAGGGCTTCGTTGATTGAATCTAATTGTTCAGTCAGCGGCAGATGAAAACGCACAGGCGTGAGCAGCGAGCGGGGAGGGATCATCAACCGAGCCGCTTCCTATGCCGGCGCGAGAATTATTCGATGCGCGCGATGCTTCCTCCTGGCTTTTCCGAGTGTACAAACGGAAGAAGCGCGCAACGCGCGTTTCCTCTAATCTCATTCAATTACACTGTTCTATGCAAACAGTCAGCAAGTCAGTCTCGCTAGTAGCCGCTTATTACGCCGGATAAAACTCGCGGCACGGCCGGGTCCCGTGCTCTCGTCTTCGCAACGTACATATTCCTCGCGCAATCGACGATATAAATATATACACTTGACTGCGCGATCTCGTGACGAATTTTTAAAGATCCCGCGCGCACGCGTCTTATCTCGCCGCGGCGTTTCCCACTTTAATTAGCCGCACAACTGCATATCGGTGTAGAAACGCGTTGCGCGTTGCGGGCGTTGCGTTCGCCGACCGTTCGCCGAGGCTGTCGATAATCGCACGGCGTTCGGTAATGTGCAGCGCGCGGACGTATCTCTTCGCATCTTTCCGACCATTCGTTAATTTCAAGAGCGCAACGACGCGCCCTCCTCTGATTATCTTCTCTTTCGGCTTATACATATTTACTCTGAGCCGTAGCATAACTTACGCTTCGCTGCTATTATGCTCATTATTCACGCGGTAATAAAATATCGCACTGCGTTCTTAGTAACTTTTGTAATTAATCCACGTGAGGTCTTAACATAGGTATCTCCGACCAGTAGGAATAGGTAACTTAATGGCGTACTGATTTCATAATTGGATCTCCGCTCGTAATTGGATTAATAATTCGAGTAAATTAGTATCGAAGTCGTCCAATTAGTATAAAGTGATAAAAACTCGGCGTGCGATGCATTTCCTCCCGTCTCGCCGTTTTTTAAGTATCCTTACGAACATTTCGGCGCACAGGGAAAAGAGATTATCAACGCCGAGTTCAGTAACATCGCTTTGGTATGAAGCGGAAATAATAGAAAGGCAATCATTCAAATACATATAAAAATAAGTATAATATACTCTTTACTTTTTAAATTTACCTTAAATTTACTCTCGAATTTACTTTCCATTTGCATCAGATATTATTAATTAATTACTAAATGTTATTACTTAATTACTCATTAAGATTCTGTACTTTGAAGACATCAACTATCGTAAATCTCATCTTTCATTAAATACGCTTGCGATCCATGAAACGCACCATAGAAACAAGAGCCTCTAGAACAATGCATCCGAGAATATTCCGAGGAATATAAATATTCCGAAAAGGCGGACTTATTTGTAACTCTTTCGATTGTCTCGTTAGTTTGATGTCTACCGTATACGAGTAATATTATATTTCGTTTGCACATCTCATGATCTGCTCCGAGCGCAAAGGGGTACCATGAACTTTGCGAGAACGATGGAGAGTAAGAGTTTTGTTATCGGAGGTCACTCTCAGAATCTCTGACGCGGATTGTCGGCAACGGGAAACCTTGCCGCCAAGTACGTCTCGCTGCTCGTGTATTTATCCCTCGTCAAGTTATAAGTGTTATGAGACACATTGTTCTTAACTTTCTATTTTGTGCTCTATTTAACGTTGAGATGGTCACTAGCCGCTTCATTAGGCTTTATTTATCTGCTGCGAAGATTGCGTTTAATCCTAATATAAACGCAATAATCTTATCTGAGTTTTTGAGAAAAAAGAAAATTGATAAAATCGTCATTAATCGTAATTAAAATAAAAATTAATGGATAGATAGATTGGAAAGTATAAGATGGCGAGATAAAATGTGTGTCGATAAGCTCATTTATTTTGCGCAAAATAATCCGCGCTACATTTTATCTTACGTGGGAATTATTTTGACGATAATAATATTAATATTAATCATTTTCTTTATTCCCCAAGATTAAAATAAAAATCGAGGTCCTGGATGAGATTGAGAATTTTTCGCCCGATGATGAGCTGGATATCGAAGAATGCGTTCGTGTGACGAACGAGGGGACGGAACAAGTATCACACCATGAAAATTCCGATCAGACCCCAGAATCAGACTGTCAGAGAAATGCAAGCGTTTCACTTTCTCTGAAACAAATGGATGAATACAGTAAGCTTTTAATGTGCAACGTCTGCGGGATTGAACTTCCGAAGAAGGCCGAATCCGAGTCTCGCATAATCGGACACAGCCATGAGAAAGTTCTTCGGTGCAAATTTTGCTGGAAACAATTCTCAAGGTACGAAGAATGTCCAAATAATATGGAGAACTGTTATTTTATGATTTCACACCGTGTTTATGTTATCATCACAAGTAAAAACTGAATCGTGCCATAAATATAATAAGAAGAAATATTATAGGCACGATATTTATACACATTAGGGTAAATTGTATCGATGAAATGACTGACTTGTATTTAGAAGCAAGCGGAGAATATAGAGTTAATGCAATTGCTGTTCTTCCTCGTGACGCTTTCGCGTGTGCACATTTAAGATACAGACGTCATTATGCACGTGCAGTCAATTCGACACAAATATTAAAATGCTGCTGCTTCTTTATTAAGCTCGAAGCAACCGTCGCCGCTACATAGTACTTATTACTAATAATGCAATTATGTTTCCATCAAGATCGACAACCCTAAGGGATCACCTGCATATGCATTTCATTCCGAAGGTCTTTCGCGTGCAGACACTGTGAGCTTCAATTTCAGGTAGTTAATGCTAATAACCATTCGTAGATATTATCGTCTTGATATCAGATCCCTTCGAACTTTTTGCTGCACAAACCGACATGCTCACTTACCACGCATTCAGTCCAATGGATGCTTGCTAAAATATCCCGTTACGCGTAAAATTACAAACCATCTATACAATTTATCACTATCAGAGAATAATCTATCAGAGAAGAAAAAACTTAATAATACCATCAGGACACGTTTGACAGACATCCAAAGGCTGCGTCAAGAGACTCGAATGCTTCTCAGACGTCTTCTGGGTATTTGTCGTGCTTTTTAATATTAATTAAATTCGACCGTTTCGTCAGGGGAAACGCGCGCTGCGAGGACGAGCTCGAGCCGAGACGCATCCCGAAAGAAAAACATTCGAGTGTTCCGCCTGCGGGAAAAAATGACCATACCAGCGGTCGTTGCGCCATCATAAACCGACGCGGACTAACGCGAGGACGTACGAGTGCGCGACCTGCGGCAAGAGCTTCCGGAAGTCCAGCAGCCTCGCAGGTCGTCCACACCGCGGACCCGCCGTTCGCGTGCAACCTCCGCCCGGCGAGGTACAAAAGATCGTCGGTGCTGAAGACGCACAAGCTGACGCACACGGGCGTGAGAAGATTCGAGTGCGACATCTGCAAGCATCGTTTCCACCTGAAAGGCGCACCGAAGAAACACCACGTACTGGCGCATTACGGTGAGAGCTTGTGAATATTCTCACAACTGGCGCACGGTAGGAAGCCGAACGTATCTGCCGGTCTGATTAGGACGTAATACCGCGCGAAGTTGCGCCGTTTTATATCTTTATTATTTTTATTCCTCATCCCGGCGGGCGCGCCGCGCGGCGCGCGAATCAGCAGCTTCTCTCTCATATAAATCCAGCGGAGCGTTCAGTCTGTGAAATGATGATCGCGGACAAAGGAACGTTTCGCAGATAATCGGAAGCTCCGCTCCGTTCGCGCTCGGCGTAGCGCGCCTTACAAAATGATCACGTGCGCATAAACGCGTTTTTCAACGCGCTCAGATGCATTCGCGCTTCTCGCGCGACCTGGGCGTTCCGCGGCGGAAATGTATTCCGGACTTTTAATTAACCTCTGTCTAACCGGGGTGAACGTATGGAAGGAACTTCTTCGCTCTTCACCGCGCGCCTTCGAATCCGCTTGAAAAATCCGCTCTTCCGCGGATTCAGAGATATTATGGTTATTAATATCGCACCCCTGCGATTCATACTTTGCGTACAGACAACTTGGTAATTACTAATTTATGTGAAAGATTTGTGGCTCTGTTAGTTATGTACTTCTTTGTCGTGTCAGGATTTCGATCGACGAAACGTCAGAAAGAGGCAGGTAAAAGTGCGATGTACGAAGTAGGATTGCAGGAGGATCGTTGTCGCAAATCTTTCAATTGAATTGAAGTTTGCGATACTTCAAAATTCCAAATAATGTGCTTTGAATTTCACTTCTCCTCGCAAACCCCGCGATTAATTAGAAAGAGAAAAAATGTATTATAAATGTATTATAGGCGAAATATCATGTAGCGGTACAACCGAATTGATACGACCGAACAAGTTTGTAAAATAGTCTCATTTTGCAGGCGGCAAACCGTACAGATGCGAAGGTTGCGGCGAGAGCTACGGAAAATCTTGCGGCCTGAAAGTGCATCATCGATATCGTCATACCGGCGATTCAAAGCGATTCGAGTGCGACTTCTGCAAGTTGCGCTTCGTCCTGAAGACAAAACTCGCGAATCACGTTTGTACGCACTTCGACGAAAATCTTGACAAGTGTGATATTTGCGGGCGTCAGATGGCGAGAGATATCAATTGAAAGCACACAGATGCGCGATCTTGCCCAACAAGTCGTCGAAACTGAAAACTCCACAAACCTCATCCGTTCGGCCACCGAGAGTTTGGGAGTTCGCTAAAATATTGATTTCACAATTATCTCGAAAATGCGTGTACAGAGAAGTGTATTGTCGAAAGATGTCTATTGAACTCGCGCGCAAGCCGCTGAAAGATAAGAAAAAAAAGGATGTACCGAGAATACTTGTATTTCTTTGCGAGTTTCGTATGACACGATTTTTGAGGCGTAGATATTGCGCTCGCTCGATTATATTAATTATCATCTGTCACGATCGCTTATAATAAGACTCGTTCCTCGCTTGGCTTGATATAATAGCCGCCGCCATTTCATTCGTGATCAAATCTATCCTCACGGATCCCGTCCGTGTTTGCATGCCCGTGAAGCTTAATAAGGCATGGCCTTAATAAGCACTTCGCCGCAGAACAAAACACCGATTAATCCCAGACTGGACCGACTCGATACGGATTGGTTTCGAGCTCGGAGCTGCCTGCCGGCTCGCCGGATAGGTCGGCTTAGGTTCGTCATCAACGTATCGTATATAATCACAGTCTTTATTCGATATTGCTCGAACGTGACCGCCGGGATCATCGCACGGCGCTGCGGAGAATTAATGCAACTCCCAGGACGTAAGAGAGTCCTTTGAAAGCAATACTTTACTTTTACCTGACGGTACTGCCGCTTTTAAAGCGACGATTTTACTTCAATTGCCGCCAAGTGTATTTGTTGCAATCGCTTAAAGTTAGGGATTATCGCGGGAGAGATACCAATAAGGACTCGTAAATGTAGAATGTACATGCAATTACCTCCGCGGTATTAATGTGCAGCGTCTCTTTGACGGCTGTCTCTCGGCAGTATCTCGAGCACGTGGGCTCCGCTTATGTCGCCGCACGTGAGAATGGTGCTTTAAGGTGCGTGGACACAGCGGGGGCTTGTACGCCAGTAATCTGAGATGCTTCGCTTCTTATCAGGTCGCATCTGCGATTCGCGTGCCTTGCGGCTAAACTCTTTGACAGTGCCGACACGTATCCGCCTTTTGACCCCGTTTCTCTATTTCGGCCCGGCAGAGAGCCCGAAGAAAAAGTGACGTCGTCGCAATTTACATTGTGCGTTAAATGATAGATTTACTGAGAGAGACATGTGAAAAGTGAAACAATTCACATGCGCATTTGCCAATTTCTTTTTCCAAACTGCGTATAGTTTTTAGAGCGGAGACGCGGAGAGGTGGAATTTTTAAAAGTCGTGCGAAAATTTTGCAATACGACACCTCACGTCCGGTATCAATAAAAAAAAAAAAAAAAATGAAACAACGTGTGCGCAATCACGAGAAATCTCTCGAAGGATCGATGAATCATTTGAAGCGGAGGCGCGCGTTTCGGCTTTATTATTCAAACCTTTCATTTCCCTGAACTCGGGTAATTAATCGTGTGAGTTGAACGGCGTGTTGCGGTAGAATTGTTGCATATACCGAAACGTATATGGACAGAGACCCCGTCTTGAAATGGCCTACGCGTTCTATTGTCATGCTGCGACATTCGGCCATGGTTTCCCGCATGCGCGGCTCAAAATGGATCATTATAATTGCACCTACGCGTTTCGTAATGTGCCGGATCGCGATAAACCGCGCTGGTCGTAAGGAAAGAAGAAAAACTTTTCCCGAACGTCAGGTTTCACTCAACGATTATTTTTTACAATAGAAACGGCGGCCACGCGGAGACTTATGAAAAATTCATCGATAGATTATGCAATCCGCTCGAAAGCGGACGGGTACGTGTAAGTAGACCGTTACGATTTCGTCTCTGACTCACTGACAACTTAGATAAGAGTCCAGCTCTTTGTCTTCCTCTCGACGGTCTAATTTTGATCTTACTCGAAGAAGCACATACCATATAATATGTAATTCAACAGAACAACTAAATATTTAAGTAGACATTTGTACGATATATTCGAAGCAGCGATAGTGGAGCAGGGTCTAGATAGCATCATTAAATCAATCCCAATATTGTGCAAGACAGATTAGATATAATTATCTCTAGAACTCTTTCCAAATTGTACACACGTTGCTTTCGTAGTGACCTCTTTTATGAAAAAAAGAATAAAAAGGATTTTGTAATCACGAAGTCGATGACATCTCATACAAGCGGCACTTTCCTATACTGTCTCTGTTTCGGAAGCGGCAAAAGAAATGTCTTTTCGGCGTGAACGTAAATTACGAGTGTAAATTTATGAATCGTCGATCCATCGCGCGATGTCTCGGCCACTTCGCGGGACCAGACGAAACTCGTTCCGTCTACGCGCGGTCTGGACGCACACGGTTTCCTCGCAACGGTGCGATTTAAATACGCGAGTCCCACCGCTCATATCTCTCGCCTAATTATGCCCGCGCCTCACGAAATCTACGATCTGACAGTTCGCGTACAGACATTGCACAGCGGCACGCAGAGAGTCACGCCAAGTCCTAATTATTTAGATAGCGATCATAGCGCTTTAATTATTCCCCCCCCCCTCCCCTCTCTATCGTTGCTCCGTTCGCCGGTATGCTAATGGCGCTTAATGCAGATAGTAACGCCGATACTATTTGCCGTACCGGTTACTAATTGCGAGCTCACGATTACGCGCGTCCAGAGCGGACGGTGGATTTGGAAACTCGCGGGAAATACGTAACGACGGCAGCTACTGTCCCGGTTGTGCACTTTTGTTACATAACAAGCCCGGCTATTTTTCCCGTCCGATAGAAAAGAAGCGCCTGTTGATGCAAAATTACTAATTATGGGCACGACTAATATTGCGATAGAAAAGAACGTTGTAACAGAACGAGACGGAAATAAGAATAAATGGAAGAATAAATTCGCTCGCTATTCTCTATTGCAAATATGTCGTTGTGCGTATTTTTTAACATCGCCGCCGCCGTTGATTTGTGATAGTAATTGCGACGATACCGAGCGTATTTTGCGCATGCAATCATGCAATCTCCGTCTGATCCGTGCGCTTGGCGCGAACGAGAGCCGGGCCGTTCTCAGGCGCCGTAGTAGAAAAGAGCGAAAACGGCGGATGGCTCGGCCGGCCGGCAAAAGAAAAATGGGACGGAGCATATTAAATAACGACGATGTCGATTAGTATTGACAACGGCGATTAAAGAGCCCGAATTGCCAGTCGGTAATGACCGAGCAGGCTGCGCGAGCAGTGAGCACTGTAATTTCATTGATAATATTTAAATACGGGCTTTTGATAGCTGTCTTCTCTCGGCTGGCATTAGCGCGGGCCCCGAAGGGCCCCGCCATCGGTCGCCCCTCCACCCGAATATCTCCGCCCCTGAGAGGTCCGAAGCAGAGGCGTACTATTTATCGACCTGGTCCCATCATTATTTCATCGAACTCTTTCATCGCCTCGCCTTGTTAATCGATAACACACAAAGACGAAACTCGGCTGCCGACGCGAGCAGCAAACTCGCGCCGGTCATTTGAATCGATTATTTCCAGAAGGCCCGGTGTCGCAAAGGGCGAAGGGCCTCTCGACAGAGGCAGGAGGCAAGCGTTCTCGATTAATTGCGATTATGATATAATTGCTCGCTGTCGCATAGTCTCTCTTCCCACGCGAAATGCGCGGAATGCTGTATTTCCGCTTAATAGAATTCATTTTCGTGAAGGAGATCGTTGCGTGTCCTTTCTACACACACAAACACACACGCGCATACGCGCGCATACACGCACACACCGCGCCGATCCATATTTAGTTGGAAAAATAGATTCAACGCCGCCGCCGCCGCCGCGGTATTCCGCGCTTCCGGTTTCGATCAATCGCGCCACCGATTTTACAAGTAATTCGCTCCTCGGGATCCGCCTCGGGAGGAAATCGTAAGCGTGAGAGATCGGCAAAAATGAAAAATAATGCAGACGATGGTTATTTGCTTAAATATACATGCGAATTATTTAGCGGACGACCTCGTCTTCCACGCCTTTAATTAGCGCGATTCTCCTGATCGTAATCGCGTGCCGCGCGATTCTAGGGTTAATGCGCATTTAATTCACAATACGGAGGGAAGCTACGCGGATAGCATGACCGGCGTATTCTTAGGCTTTCGATGTTAGATCCGTCGAGCCGAGCGATCTATAATTTAAGCACCGACAAAGCGTAATCGCTGCGTTCCCAAGAAAATCCTGATACATAATGTGAGGAATCACATAAAATGCGCTCCCTTACGCGCGTCCGCAAAATCTCGCGAGTAACGTATGCTCGTAAGAATGAAACATTTAGCTGCGCGTTATCGCCCCGACAACGGAAAGAGCACGATTTCCCGTCGCGCACGTCAATTACCGCCGTATTCCCAGCATTTTCCAACGGCGCATCATGTGCGAAAATACGAAAGATAGGATGTGATATACACCCCGCGTAATAGAATACACCATCGGTTTTATATTCCCGGGGCTCCAACGAGAAACAAATCGTCCTCGACGGTACTCTCTCGATCGCGCGCTCGGAGAGAGGAACAATTGAAGGCGGGCGAGAGCGTGCTTCTTATACGCTGGCGCAATCCGATGCAATCTAATTGGATATGAAATTAAGTCAACGAAATTCAGACAAAAATCTCAGCGGCGCGGTGAGATTTGAAATTCATATTTTCCGCCTGCGCAAGCGGACGCAATGCGTCGCGTACGCTCATGCATCCGTCATCTTTTTCTGCGGAGTAAGAGTCCCCTGTGCGCGCATAATCGCGCTGCAGTCTATCCAAGCCGCGCGACCTTCTCAAACAGCGAGCGCCCGGCACCCACTGGGCAGCATTGTTCGTTTACCGATTTGCGATCGGGAAAGGTATTCAATCGACTTTGCATTTTTTTCTAGTATAAAAGTGGATCATCCTTCAGAGTCAAAACGCACACACGAATCCGAGACATCCGCGTCGTCGTTGGTACACACAAGTCACACATGATGGCAATGTGAACGAGTTGATGAAAGGTAATCGCGGTAACATCCGCGACACGATAAAATTTACGGTAAATCACTAAGATTACGACGAAGCACAGTCAAGTTCATTGTCGCAAAAAAAAAAAGAAACGACTGAAATCAAACTGGGACAACTTTCACGTCGAGAGATATTTCTTCTAAGCTTCAGCACCATGTCGTTTGGCCGATCGATCCACGATCCGTGCTGATCGTACTACAAATCACGACGGATCGATCTCGCGATCTTAACGGTTCACGGTCACGAGACCGACGGCGGAGATGTCGCGTGCTCGCTCGCCGCACCCAACGTCTGCACCGTTGACGTGAGTGACGATAGGTTTTCGTCGATTCATTCTCATCATCTTTCGTCTGGCTCTGCTCCAGTCCGGTCAAGCAGCCTTTCGTAGCAGTCGGTTTTAATCGATTTATACAAAATAGAACTTGCGCGGAACGCTGCGAAGATCAACGTCAACGTTAACGCGAAATGATTGCAAGCTCGCGAATTCGAAGCATCGCGAAAAAATTCCATCTCAAACCATCGGCAGTCGCTTCACTAAGTGGCACTTTTTGCAACAAGTTCGATCGTCCAAAGAACGAAGCTCGCTGTCTTTTCGCGTCGGCTTTGGCAGTAAGCTCATTGTTTCGCAACACCACCGCCGCTGCCGCCGACGACGACGACGACGACGACGACGACGACGAGGAGGACGATTCGAGGTTCGATCGCAGAGCTCGATTCTCGCTGCGAACGCTCTCGCTCCATGAGGTGGAAGTGCCGCGTTGCTTCGCAGAGGTAGAGAGATGGAGGAAGAAAGAGAGCGCGCGGCGCTTCTTCTTGCCGGTCGGTTCTTCGTTTCGATGTAGGTAATCATGCGCCGCATTCCCCGAGTGCCGCGGAGATTTTCGGTTTCATTGTATGCGAGGGGTTGAGCCCGGACCGTGAGTCCTCTTCGTCGGAGCTCGGAGGCAGGAAAAAGAGAAGCCACGAGGCGTAGGGCGAGGAAGACGTCGCGGAAAGAAGGAGAGAAAGCGCCGACGCCGCGGACGAAGAAAGAGGAGGAAGAAGAAGCGATGGGGGCGAGGAGGGGGCGAGGAGGCTGGAGGAAAACGGAGAGAAGCAGCGGAGCTGCCGGCAGATCCATCGTCCGTCTCCGTGGAAGCAAACGACGCAAAAACTGGCGTGCATTGTCCCCAACTGAGAGCTCGCGGCGAGAGGGGAGGAGGAAGAGCGGAGAGAACGAGAGAGGGACTGGGTTGCGAAGCGAGAGAGCGGCAGAGAGGAGCACAGAAAGAGAGAGAGAGAGAGAGAGAGAGAGAGAATTTCTGTGTTCCATCGGTAGAGCCACGCATACCAACCTCCTTCAGCGCAGTGCGCCCTACCGAGAGAAGAGGGAGGATGGTGAGGAGGAGGAGGGTGTGCGGTTGATTTGATTTTTAAATGCAAACAAATCTACATCGCGGCAAAAGCGCCGCCGCTGACGTTATTCCAGCAGCGGCCGATGGCCGCCGCCGCCGCCACCGCAGCGGAAGGGAGGCCTCTCATGTCGAAGCGTCATCGCCGGGGCGGGGTATTTTTCTTTTTCTCTCAATCATCGGGGGCCGCCACGAAGATTCCCGCTGATTCCTATTCCTCCGTTCCGCATGCACCACCGTTCTCCTCGCGGAAGCAAGCCGGCTCCTCCCACGGTAATCATCAGAGCGGCAATTAGAGACGCGCGCGCCAAGTATCGCGTCCGAGGATGAACAAAGACGCTCGCGTGAATAGCGGAATCGAGTCTACGAAGGTGTCCCGTGTGTTGCGCCCCTAGAAAGCACTCCACCCTGGGAGCTGAATCCCGTGGTATCGATAAGAACCTTTTTGTATATCCGTCTCAAATTGTATATCCTTCGAAAGATCCATCCGCGATCTGTCGCCGCTCGTATCTCCGCGGCCGTCTTTCCGGCTCCGGCGCGTCAGTCGAGAAAAAAGGAGCGGCCGGGCGAGTCCTTTGGTTCCAAGTAGGGTGTAATTGCCGCTTCCGACGACGGGAGGAACGACGTCGGCGCTTGTCCCAACATTGCTGCATGTGCGCGCCGACGTTCATAAGTTATGAAACTGGCGGATAAGGTCCTGCCGCCCGCTCTCCCACCCGCGACGGCTTCGCGAGCGCGGAAGAAGAGAGCAAGACGAACGATACGTGGATCCTGAAGACCTGAGCGAGGAGCAGGACGCGGCGATCGAAGCTGCGGAGCGAGATGGATGGAGTTAGGCGCGCTGGCGAGGGAGCGGGAGACGCCTGGAGGGAGCATAATTGCCGTTGGATTAATGAGACGGCATAATTGCACGATAATCGACGATCGTTTTATTAGGCGACTGGGCTGCCGACTGGAAGTCCGGGCCCGTCGAAGACACACAGAGGACACCGCTGCCGCATGCGGTCGCATATTATTATAAGGAGAACGAGGACTGCGCGGGAGCCGCGCGGTAGGTATGTCAGGCTGGCCAGAAATGACAATTACCGAAGACGCGGTTAAACGCTCCTCGCCTCCCTCGGCCGTCGATTCGAGAGCACTCGGAATGCATTGTCACTGCTGTTAGCCAGCGGCGTTATTGCGCGCGAGACGTTCGACATCCTGCGAGCAACTGCGGAGAATTTCCACAGTCTGTAATTTTAGCAATTTCAGGTTGGAAATTCACGAAACCGACACCGACATCGAGGCGCGTGGATAATCGGCTCGAGTCTAATAAGAACGAGTATAATTGCTGCTTCACGCGTAAGAGCGGCGAACGCCGCTGCTTTAGTTGCCACTCGACGAGCGCGCAGACCGCGATGCTGAAGAATCTCCAGGAAAACTAGTCCGCTTCTACGTCCCTCCGGTATCCGTCTCATACCAGCTCGGTCTCTAAGCTGCTCTCGTATTCCTGGTTGTCCAGGGCCGTTGGCTTCTCGGAGATGAGGGACTAAAAACTCGCGGACGCGCTC